CAACAACGTAGAGTGGGAAGGAGTCTGACTCACGACTCCTCAAAAAGAAGCGCTTATCGGGAGGCAAGCCGATGTTTTAAGAGTTTGAATTTTCATTTTCTTTTGATTACTTTTTAGTTTTTGTTTTCATTTTTTTTATTTATTTTTACCGAATAATCATGTGTTTCTCTAGTCTTTTGATCTTATTTTGTAGTATAAAAGTGAAGCAGTGAAGGAGCTTAATTGTTGACAAAGCCGAGAGATTTTTAGAAGATTATTATTTAATACCATATTTTTTTTAATAAGTATGGGGTTCCTGCTAGATGAAAAGAAGCGTTTTTGAAGAATTTTACAAAACAAAAAGGTCGAGAATGGTCCTAAGCCATTAAGAAGAAAAAGATGCAAAATTCTACATCTAGAAGACCTTCTGAGAAGTCAACACGTCTTGGTATCACTAGATCACGTCGTGGGATTTGAGTTTATCGCGATCAAAAATTCTTGAAGACCTAGCACCATGTTGTGGCATCCTTAGACCACGTCGTGACGTTTTTATTTTTAGCGAACATGACAACTTCTTACTCGACACTACGATGTGGCGTTGCTTTCTGAGGTCATGGATGAGGTTCAACACACTTCTAGAAGATGGTTCTTTGGTTTATTTATAGCCGGCACATTTATATTCACGCAAGAAGATCCTAGAAGTAATATTTTTGGGACCAATTCCGCAACAAAAAAAATACTTTTTTCTAAAATAAACAAAAATAAAATTTTTAAAATGATCATAAATTTGGAAATGTTATAGTCTCGTTTACTTTTCCTTTGGTATTCCAACTTCCTTCGAGATTTTTAGAGTGCTAATAAGTCACTACATTTTTGTTGTTTGTCTGATTTTATTTGTTATAACTAGAAACACACGCATTCAGATATATAATCAAACTAGTTGTTATACCCGTATAACTCCACGGGTTTATTATAAAAAATGAAGATCGACAAATTTAGAAAGTTTGAATTTATAAAGAAAAAAAAATATTGAATTCTTAAAATGCAATGTTCAATTTGTTATTTTGATTTTTTTTCATTTCTTTTTAAATTTAAACAAATAATTTAAATAAACAAGCAAATGAAATAATTGGATTAAATTTAGAAAACTTAAAAATTAAAAGGAAAGGTACATTAATTAAATTGATATGCATTTATTATTACACTTATTACAATTAATACATTTAAATATTATGTAGAATTTAATAAAATGGAAAAACCATAAAATGATAAGTGGATAAAAAATAAATAAATAAATCTTACAAAAATGACATGTGGCAAATAGAATGAGAATGACATTTGGTAAAAATGATTTTCATTTATTATAATAGACTAGGTGTGAGACTCGTGTATTACACAGGTTTATTAAAAATAAAAATTTAATATGAATATATATAAAAACATTAAATATTTTATAAAATAATGCATTTACGAAAGTAGTCAAATCGTTTGGAGCATTTATGAAAATTTATTAACAAATTAATAGAACGATAACCTTACATATATATATAACCCATTAGAATTTTTTGGAATATTATTTTAAGAAAATTAAAATCCCCAAAAAATGATAAGTGGAAAATAACACTTTTAAAAATCCTAGAAAAATGACATGTGTCAAAATAAATAAGAATATTACAAGTGTCAAAAGTATTTTCATTTATTAGGGAGTATATGAGATGAGATGAGATCTGGATTTTATATTCGGAATTAAGTTGTGAGATCTTGTAATCTATATCAAATGGAATATATACACATATATGTATGTAAAATGGCGATTGTAGAAGTATATTAGTTTGATAAAGTGTTGTAAAAACAAACTGTGACGGTTGTAGAAATAGGTTGGTTAATTTGATAAATTTTTTTAGAAATAGGTTGGTTTGAGAAATGGTTCATCATTTTCTTCTTTCCGGATCAATTCATTCTGGAGAATTTGAATATATTTCATTTTTAACCTGTTATATGTTAAAATATTTGCCCTTCAACTTTTATCTTTTTCTTAGTTTATATCTTTCATTATTGAATAATTAATCTTTTTTACCTTTATTATATCTCACATATAGACTAACTTATTCCAAATTATATAATTACAAGTTATGTATTATTTTTTATATAATATATCATTAAAAAGATCTTATGAATACCTTCAAATAAATATTAATATTGAACATATTAAAATGTCTTAAAATCTCAATTAAAAATAATATTATAATATAAGTTAAACGCATAGTTACAAAATATGTTAAACACTAAATCATAACATTTATAAGGGTAGTATTTTTTTTAATTATCGTCTATTCGTAAATATGAGGAATTCTTTTGTCTGAAATGCACAAAATATAGTCTAAAATTAATGTACTATTTGAAGTGGGTCATCAGTTAAATATATTTCTTAGTGCAATTTTTTTTCGATAATCTTATGTCCAAAATGTATAATTCAAAATATATTTTTATCAATTTGCTTACGTTACTGTTCACCATAACAACTACAGAAGCCAACTTTTCTATTGATCCAACTTTATTTGAGTTTTTATAAAACGTGTCAATCATACAAATAGGTTATTGTACAAATAGGTTAGTTTTGATACAGTACCATTTTCTTCAATGAGATCAATTCATTCTAAAGAATTTGAATACATTTCATTTCTAACTCTTTATATGTTAATATTAGCCCTCCAATTTTTATTTTATCTTTGTTTACATCTTTTATTATCAAATAAATTATTTTTTTACCTTTATTATATCTCACATATAGATTAACTTATTCTAAAATATATAATTATAATTTATGTATTATTTTAATAAGTTATATCATTAAATATATCTTACAAATACCTTCAAACATATACCAATGTTGAATATATTAAAAAATCACAAAATTAAAAGATCAATTAAAAACGATATTATATTATAAATTAAGCTTAAAATACAAATTAAGTTAAACACTAAATCATAAATTTATGGTAGTTTTTTTAGTTATCATTTAGTTTTAGAAAATATTTAATCTGAAATGCCGAAATGTATAATCCGAAATATCGGAGATTAATATACCGTTTGAAATGATTAATTCGTTAAATCTATTTCTAAAGGTAATTTTTGTCGTTATGCTTATCTGAAATAGTTCAAAATATATTTTTGTTAGTATGCTTATGTCATTGTTCATGATAACACAACTACAAAAGCAGACTCTTTTGTAGACCTAGGGTTGTTAATTAGATCAACCATATCGGGTTTCAGATTAATCAGGTCAGATTAGTCAAGTTTTTCATCTTAAAGAATTGACCATAAACCCGACCCTATTAGAGTTCGGGTTACCCGGGTCGGATTAGTCAAGTTAAATATGAAACAAAATAAAATTGTTCATTTTAGCAAATAACTTATAAGTATAGGGATCGAAAGTGTAAAATATTAAAAAGTTCATTTTGTTTGTGGAGTTTGTATATGCAATCGTGCAATACATTTCCAAAAGGGTTGAATACTTGAATTGAGAAATTATATTTGGTTAGTTTGGCCTGCTCTCTGTCAACATTAACAGTGGTGTTTGACAAATATGTCAAAATAAAATTTCATTGCTTTAATTTGTAGTTAGTTATTTTGTGGTCATTTTTTACACAATAAAAGTTACTATAATTACATAAATTTTGTCAGTTTCTTATTCTTATTGTGATCTTCTTGAAGAGGATCGAGAACTCGGTGACAAAAGAATAACTTGTGAGGGTTTATGATTAGGCTTATTCCTTTTGCATGAATGACAAGTGAATGTGAATATATAAGCTGAAACAACATTATACACTACAAGCAGTAAGAGCAGGTTATTAATTATAGGCTTAAAAGGGTTAACCGGGTTATCCCGAAACCGATTATACGAAATTATGTAAACTCGAAACTCGACCCTATATTACGGGTTATTCGGGTTGACACGATAAACCCAATTTCAGCTTTAGACCTGATTATAACCGACCCTATTTTCCCTATTCAGGTTTGGGTCAAGTCGGGTTCGGGTTTTTGTTGACCCAACTTTCACTGTTTTTGCAAACTCAAATAAATAATTGAATGGCCTTTCAAATCAATTCACTTTTTGTATTATAAATTTTGTTTATTATCCCTTCAAGCTAAATAAATTGTCTCATAATATTTGATCGTACGTTATTTCTTTCTTCTTTTCATTATCCATAACAAGGTAAGTATTATTATCTATATATCATTCATGTATTTAATAATAAATATCACATGTAGCATGTATACTGATTTGTTCCATGTATTTAATAATAAATATCACATGTAGCATGTATACTGATTTGTTTTTTTTATCTTATAATTTATTATGCAGGTAGATTTTGGTATATTTATCACTGTGACTCTAGATCATCCATTCAACTTTTACTAATTCAAATATTGTTAAGACATAAAATGGGGTACAAGGAATTTAAAGATTTTTCTATGCATATATTGGAGTTGAAAAAACGTCATATAAATTGATTCAAGTCTAGATGTAATGTATCATTTGGCTGAAAATATTGAATTTTATTGGGGATAAAATTTGAGTCATTTAATAATCAAAGAAACAAATAAAAATGAGATAATTTTTTTTTGAAGAGCTAAAATTGTAACATGTAAGAGTTATAAATGAAAACAAAGAAATTAAATACCCTCCTATATTTTATTCTTACTATCCTCCTGCTCATATTAAATAGTGACAAGTGGACTAAAATATTATCAATTTCATTAAATGTGATACATGTCAAGATTTGATATTGTATGAAGATAAGTAGGAATAAAATATAATAAGATATTTAATTTATCATAAAAATATATTTTTCTGTTTTGCAATACACAGTAAGAAATGATAAAGTTGATGGGTCCCACTTAAAACCAACCTATTACAACGCATTATCAAACTAACCGCCTTTTAGAAACAAGCCTACTAATACAAAAAAAACTGTCATAGTTCTGGGCAAAGTACCACAATTCTTTAATCCAATGCCATGAATACCAACAGATTTTGGTTTTGGTCGTCTGTTACGGTCATTGCTCTCCTTTCCTTCGTACTCTCCTTTTACACCACTAGTATCTCTATAACGGGCATTGAAGTCATATTTATCAAAAGGATCTTTGAGCAAAGTGGAATTTATGAGTTCTTCTCTTTTATAGGAAAAAGTCTCGGTCCGACGAGGAGTGGGGTCACTTGTGATGCCAGTAAGTGGAACTCTGCACTCGTAGCAAAATACAAAGTTGAGCTTGTTTTGACTGTTGATCAAAATGGTTGTGGGAAGTTCAATACTTTACAGAAGGCAGTGGCCGCTGTTCCTGATAATAGCCCGAAACTAACACTGATCATTCTTGATGTAGGCACATACAAGTAATGTTTCATGATCATGCAATCTACTTGACTTATAAGTTGTGTTCAACACATGTAAAAACCAAACATGCTATTGTTATGGCAGGGAGAAAGTGTTGGTGGGCGTAAAGAAAATCAATTTGATAATTCAAGGTCAAGGTTCTCAGAAGACAACGATCGCTTGGAACGACACTGCAGCTTCATCAAAAGGCACTATCTACAGCTACACAGTTTGCATTGATGCTAAAAATTTCATTGCTTACGACATCGGCTTTAAGGTAATGCAAGTAACTCATACATACGAAAGTTCCAAAAATAGCATATTTTTTCCATTGAATATTGACATGCTTGCTGCTTTGTTCTCGAATGGCAAAGAACACAGCTCCTCGTCCAGCGCCAGGTGCAATTGGAGGACAAGCTGTAGCACTGAGAGTCAGAGGAGATCAATCAACTTTCTATAACTGCGGGTTTTTTGGATTTCAAGACACTCTTAATGATGCTGAAGGAAGGCATTATTTTAAACAATGTCACATTGAAGGAACGGTAGATTTTATCTTTGGGAATGCTAGATCACTCTACCAAGTAATTATCACTCTTTCAAGAAAGCCTAGATAAAGAGAAGTATATGTTTTTAACCACCTTTTTCTTTCAGGATTGTGAGATTAACTCGGTACCCAGTGGTGCTAAGGCCATTGGAGCTATAGCAGCACAACAAAGAGCCTCAACTAAAGAGAAAACGGGGTTTTCGTTTGTGAACTGTAAGATAGGAGGAAGTGGCAAGGTGTGGCTTGGTAGGGCTTGGGGTGTATATTCAACTGTCGTCTACTTAAACACTTTCATGTCTGCAGTTATTACTCCAGATGGCTGGAATGACTGGAGAGACCACAAAAGAGATCAGTTATGGCTATTTTAGTCTTTCTACCCCTTACTTCAATCATAAAAGTTCAAATTTTCTTTGCATGCATGCATTCTCATGTTAACCATCTATGTTACATGCTTATTTGCATGCATGCATTCTCACATTAATTTGAAATCCTCGAAGATCCATATCAATTATGACATTTGTATTTTATGTAACACTACATTTTATTATTATACTACGACATTTGGTGCTTCTATTGTTCTACCATCAAAAAGTGCAATATAACACTACATTTTATTATTCTACTACGACATTTGTATTTTATGTAACTGATCAATGTTACTAACATTTCTTGCCTAATGTTTGAATGTATTTCCAGGTTAGTTTACTTTGGAGAGTATGAGTGCTCTGGTCCAGGAGCAGTAAACCATCTTAGGGTTAAATACGCAAAGAAACTGACCAAAGCTGAAGCAGCTCCGTTCATGGATATCTCTTATGTTGATGGAAGTACGTGGATTAAATAGTAGTAAGAACATTCAGAAACAGAAATTCAAAAACATGGCATTCCTTGACATGATTTGTGAGAAGCTTGTATGAAGGCAAAATCTATCACATTAATGAATGTCTTCTATCACATGTTCATAAGTTACTGCGAGAAGATATCGTTTCTAATACAAAGAAAATGAAAACTGAAAAAATATGAGTACTTTAAATTCCATAAGATGTTCCATATCCTTTATTTTTCTTTGATATAACATAATGAAAAAGAGTAATACAATTTTTTTCCTTTAATATAACATTAATGAAAAAATGTTAGCATCAAAGAACTAGATTTAGTATCGAATCAAAAATAACTATGTAATAGTTATTATGTACATCAACTATTTAAATAATAAAAAAGTTACTTGTAGCATACTCAGATATGAAAACTATTCATATAATTAAGGGTACGTCCTGACAACCATCTCATTAAAAATCACTCGTTAATTAATCATCTGAAAGGTAACATGCATATGGCATGCACTTGTTAGTTAGAAATGCACCAAAGACTTTCCTTCTAATTTTGAAAGTACTAAATAAAAGGTAAAGCACATATTGCATGGACTTATTTTTTGGTCGGGATATAGCATAAGACCCCGTTTGATAGACATCTTTCCAGGTCCAAACAGATTTTTCTGGCTGAATGGGTTGAAAAGACTGCTTGATTTACATAAAAAAAAAGGGTTTTTCCCGGTAAGATATCTCTTTCCCAGAAAGCCCCAAAACCATATCTTTCTGGTTGAATGAACATTTTTCATCATTTAGCACAGTCCATCAAATGTTTAATCAAATATCATGATTTCTTTCCCAGTCAGTAAACTTTTCCAGACAATATTTTTCCAAAAGCACTTTCCCAGACAACAACTATCAATCGGCCCATAAGTTTCCTTCTAATATTTCTCAATTCCCACTTAAAAGGCAAAACACTTAATGCGTGTCCTTATTGGTTGGTAGAGAAATAATATAGAGTTTCCTTCTAGTCTTGTCAAATCCCACATAAAAGATCATTGGAGCATCTGGGCTTCTCTCCTTTAAGAGTTTTAATGTTTTTTTTTTTCGGAAAAGATTGTTGATTAATGTTGTCTTAGATAATTTGAGATACATTAATATAAAATGAAATTTTAATGGGGATATATTGTTTTTTTATATTTCGTTTATGGATTTAGTATTTATTGATACTTGTCAAACATATCTAGCCAAGTGAATAATATTTATGTGATGAGTGAGAAGAATCTTACAATATGGAAAGAAAATTAAGGTTGACCATGGTGAATAATGTGGATGTATGATAAACATGTTAGCCAGACCTAAAGGAATGTTGTAGTTGAACAACGAAATCCAACATTTAAAGATACGATAGGAAATATGATCAGTCTTTATTTCTTACTAGAGTCTCTTTTGAGAGAAGCTCTAAATACAATAGCTACAAAATTCATTTACAATCTTTGAACTAATAATAAAAGACCAAGCATTATATAATTACATATTCAGGTTGTCCAGCCGAAGCTAGGACTTATAATAAGCCACATACGGAGAAACTAGACTTAAGAATTGTTAGTTGGTATATTATTTTATTACCCTTCGGAGCTACAAGTTCTATAATCCCTTGTCTCTTTAATTTTTTTTTAAATATGAAATGTAAGATTCCTTAAAAATGTTGAGTTTATAGAAGAATAAAACATTAGAGGTGTTGTTTTGAAGAAGAATACATTATTTTGGTGACAAATGTTTGATAACTATAGTCGATGACGAATGTTTCATACATATAGTTGTTCATTATTTAAGAAGAATATGCTATTTTAGGTTACCGAGGTTTTATAGTTATAGTTTTGTACTAGGGTGTTGTACTTATAGTCGCTCAAGACACAGTTTTAGAGGAAAACATTCCTAACATTGTCCCTAAGCAAGAGCCATTAAGATTTTTATGTAGCACCAACTATAAAATCAACATTAACAACCTTAATGAATGTCATTCAGTAGATCCAATATTGCGTGGAAAAAAACCATTTTATATGATTGTGTCATTTTTATCCAAGAACATGAGGATGAAATTAGCGTAATGAATGATGATCCAATCAACTTTCATCAAGCAATGTGTTGTTTTAACTCTCAATAATGAATTAATGTCATTTATGGTGAAATGAAGTCAGTAACAGAAGATGATGACTGGGATGTCATGGAGTTGCCAACGAGTAAGAAACCTATTGGTTTCTAATGGATCTCTAAATCCAAAAGGTATTTAAATGGTAACATTGAGATATATAAGAAGCGTCTAATTTCAAAGGGATTCAATCAAAATGAAGGAAATAGGCCTTAAATATGATATCATTGAAATACTCTTTTGGAATGCTAATGGAACTTATACCTCTTTTTGATCTATAGTTAAATCAGACGGACATAATGTGTTTCTAAAAGGAGATGTTGACGAAATGATTCATATAGCTTAACCAGAAAACATTATGTCATGATATCGAAGATTTACGGCCAGTTTGCAGTTTATAGAAATCCATCTATGGTCTCAAGATTATTTTCCAATATCATAAGTTTCACCTAGCCATTACCTCGTATATTTTTTAAATGTTATAATTGAATGTGTATATCACAAGTTAAGTGAGAATTAATATGTGTTTATGGTATTATATTTCAATCATATTCTTCTCGCTAGTAAATATATAGCTTTATTTCACGAAACCAAAAAAATTTGACAAAGAGATTCAAGATCGAAGATCTTGGTGACACCTATTTTACATTAGGAGTTATGATATTGAGAAATCATCTAGATGTACCCTTGGATTGTCACAAAAGAGCTGTTGCAAACAAATTGGGCAAATCCAATATAAAAAGATAGTAAACCATGAGATATGCTAGTTATAAAAGAAGACTAGTTTAGTCTTGTAACATCCCAAAAATCAGAGTAAAATTTTCATTTTGATCTATAGTTAAATCAGACGGACATAATGTATTTCTAAATGGATATATTGACGAAATGATTCATATAGCTTAACCAGAAAACATTGTGTCATTATATTGAAGATTTACGGCCAGTTTGCAATTTATAGAAATCCATCTATGGTCTCAAGTTTGTTTTCCAATATCATAAGTTTCACCTAGTCATTACCTCATATATTTTTGTAAATGTTATAATTTATTGTGTATATCACAAGTTAAGTGAGAATAAATATGCTTTTATGGTATTATATGACAATTATATTCTTCTCGCTGGTAAATATATAGCTTTATTTCACGAAACCAAAAAAATTTTGACATGGAAATTCAAGATCGAAGATCTTGGTGACACCTATTTTACATTAGGAGTTATGATATTGAGAAATCATCTAGAGGAACCCTTGGATTGTCACAACAGAGTTGTTGCAAACAAATTTTGAGCAAATCCAATATAAAAAGATAGTAAACCATGAGATATGCTTGTTATGAAAGAAGACTAGTTCAGTCTTGTAACATTCCAAAAATCAGAGTAAAATTTTCATTTTGATCTATAGTTAAGTCAGATGGACATAATGTGTTTCTAAATGGAGATGCTGACGAAATGATTCATATAGCTTAACCAGGAAACATTATGTCATGATATCGAAGATTTACGGCCAGTTTGCAATTTATAGGAATCCATCTATGGTCTCAAGCTTGTTTTCTAATATCATAAGTTTCACCTAGTCATTACCTCATATATATATTTTAAATGTTATAATTGATTATGTATATCACAAGTTAAGTGAGAATAAATATGTGTTTATGGTATTATATGTCAATTTTATTCTTCTCGCTAGTAAATATATAGCTTTATTTGACGAAACTAAAAACATTTGACAAAGAAATTCAAGATCGAAGATCTTGGTGACACCTATTTTACATTAGGAGTTACGATATTGAGAAATCATCTAGCGGTACCCTTGGATTGTCACAAAAGGGTTGTAGAAATTTTTTTTTGAGAAAATCCAATACAAAAAGATTGTAAACCATGTATGCTTGTTATAAAAGAAGACTAGTTCAGTTTTGTAACATCCCAAAAATCAGAGTAAATTTTTTATTTTTCAAAAACAACCCAAACACCATAATTGTTTACAAAGCATTGTTTCAAAAATATAAGTCATAAATTAGGGTATCGTAAAATCCAATAACATAGAATCCGAAGGAATGTGCACGATCACACCTTTGCCTCCCTCTGGTCCTCTGAAGTACCTGAAACAAGAAACTGAAACTGTAAGTCAAAGCTTAGTGAGTTCCCCCAAAATACCACACACGACCATACAAACAACAGCATGCATACATGAGCCTTCATCATGACTGGACCGCCTCCCAGGCCTACAGACCATCTGGACCGCTCTCAGGGCCTTCGGATTGACCGGACCGCCTCGCAGGACTTCAGTATATTTGGGCCGCCCTGGATGTCTTGGCCTTCAGTACCAGCTGGTTTGCCTCAACCCAACAAACCATAACATGTTGACAATACAATATCAAACAATAATTAAAAAACACAGGTAGTCCTGTAGATCTACCAGTCTAATCACATAACCAATGAATATGTACCTCAACATAACAACACACAATAAAATAGGATACCAAATCCAATGGGCCGGCCTTGGTGGCTTCGACCCACAAGTGCAGTGAGGAAAACTCACATTTCAGTGCGAAAAAATAGGTGAATAGGTCTCTGCTCCGAATATTAGCTCTGCCTATCACCTATTCATCAAATAGTGACCAATCTCACATACAACTAAAAATACCCAAAATACCCTTAGGTCAAACTTTGTCAAATCATGGTCAATGTAAAAAAGTCAAAGCTGGTAAACATAGTTGAGTACGCCCAACATACTCAGCTTGTACACTTGACGTACACTAGCATCGACCAAAATGAGCTAGTTGGCCATCTACCATGCAACATACCAGGGTTATGCCTAGCTTACGCGACTGGCCCCTTTTGGTTCTTATTAAGATCTTAATCCTTAAGATCGTTTGTTCAAATTCTAGATCTAGTCCTACACTAACGTCCTTAACCATAAAGTTTTGAACTTTATGGTCTTGCATGGCTATTAAGTGCCCAACAACAAAAACCCTAAGCCTTTAACTCATTAAGACACTAAAACTCATGCATAAAGGGAAACTAACAATCAAGATTGCATT